GGGCTACCTTGGGCTTACTTGAGCCTTATTTTGGTGGTTAAGGTTTAGGGTCTAGGGGGGACCCTTCGCCCCAAAATCCGTTGATGCCTAACCCCCCAAGCCTTTCCTAAACCCCAAAAGTACGTGAAATAATGGCCTTTGGGGCTATTGTTATGAGCTTAGGGCTATTATTATTTTACATATTTGGGGGGGTTAGGTTACCCCTATACCCAAAACCCCTTATACGCCTGACCCCAAACCAGGGATGGGACTGAGCAAGTCCCGATTAACCTCCTTTAAAGGGCAAAATCAATCCTAAGTCCCTAAGCCCTAATCCGTACACGCTATTAGGGGTTAGGGTTTAGGGGTTATATAGGGTTTAGGGGTTAAGGGTTTAGGGTTTGGGCCCATAATAAGGACTATAGTGTGGTCTATATTGGGGTCCCCTTATTTAGGGAAACTACCAAATACTCCCCAGGCGCAGGTCAAGGTGCCGGTAAAGAAAAGAAGGATGGGGACGACAAGAAGAAGAAGCACGAGGCGTTCAGCATTAAGGTTTTAGGGTTGACTGTTTTAGGGGTTAGGGTTTGGGCTGAGGGTCTACGATTTGGGGTATTTTTTTTCACGTTTAGGGCTGAGCGCAGAAGTGTGAAACACCTGGCGCATGAAATGAACACTTGGATTGTGTGGGGGATGTATAGGGCGTTGTACTGTAAAAGTCTCAGCAGTTACTTCATCGTTCCTTTTGTAATCATGTTACAATTATAGTATACCCCGAAAGCCCATGCAGGAGCAGAGTGGACACCTTATGCTGACCATCCTTTTTTTTGGGGGACGTGGCATCGTTTTCAGGGGATTTTGAGGATATATGGATATACGTGGATACATAGGGTTACATGGGGATACATAGGTCATAGGTTACATAGGGATGCATTGATGCATTGGGATATAAGGGGAAACATTAGGATGTGTAATCTCAGGATTTCCTGCAACACCTGTGATACTGTCAACAATAAACCTTATTGTTAAGGGACCCTTCAAAGTGGACATAGGGGTCCCTCACGTAGTTTAGTGTAGTCACTAAAATAGGCCTTGATAAGGACCTCATGTCCGTTAGATCATGTAGGAAATATTGATTGTAGCTCATATGGGATATACGGGGTTGTCGAGGGCGGCGCTAGCAAGGGTGAGAGTAGAAGGAACGGTTGCTAAGGACGTAGACGTTGTTTTCAGGGTCTGGTTTGGGGTGTAGTCGTTTAGTCCTCTATTGCAGTTTCACACTAGTGCGTCTACTCAACATTTCGGTAATATGTTGTTTGATGATGTAGCCGCGCTGCTCAAGATTTCAGCAATAACCTGAACCCTTTAAAGTCGGTAGCATGTAGGAGCCTAGGGTTTAGGGTTTAGGGTTATGTTCTTCGATTCCTTGTACTGTTATGGCACAGCGTAGCTCAAATAGACCTCAACATATGATTAAATACTTGTTTAGGCGCCTCACTCCGCAATCCCTGAAATATATCCCTACATCAACCCAGTTTCCATTTCACTTTCCATTTGACTCTCTGTTCTCGGGGTAATATCCAAGAACCCTTAACCCTAAGTACCCTAAGCCCCACACCCTCGACCAAAACCCTAAACTCTAAACACGAAATCCTAAATCCTAGCCTTAACCCTGCTGTCTCCCTTCAGGCACTAGCGCCCCCATCGCACTTCGGACGAAAGAAGAGGAAAATGAAGGGGGCGCAGGCGCTATCAGGGGAGCTGCCGGAACTTTTACAGTACGGCTTACCTCAATTGGATTCCGAGTTTCGGGAGTTCTGCTATGAGGATTTTCATTTTTGGGGGGACTTCTTCGTGCCCTCTACGTGTTCTATGTTTCGATAAGTGAGAAATCAGCAGCAGGAATTCTAGTGCGTTGGGCTCCTACTGCGCCTGCAGCTGCCCTGTCTCCACAACTCTTGTTCGAAGATGTTGGGATGGTTAAGAAGGTTTAGGGTTTAGTGCTTTAGGGTTCAGAGGGTCCTAGTCTGGACCTGAACCCTCAAGATACTGTGTTGCTGTTAAGGAATTCAAATTAAGTTACCATAATGGGTATATATAGTAAATAATAGGGTTTCCCCGATATAGTAACTTAAGTTAAGTTCCTTAACCGCAACCCAGGATAGTGCTGATCCTGTCGCCCATGGCAATGCTCAAGGGCTCTTAGGAGGGACCCCTCGAGCCAGTACCTTATATGGGTGCTTGTCAAAATTATGGTCCCTTTTTGGGTACCCTAAATATTAGGCGCCGTATTATAATAGGGATCCAAAAAGGGACCATAATTTTGACAACCACCCGTATAGGCCTTGTAGAAGCTATGGTCTAGACTCCTTGACGGGGGCTATATAGGGGAGCATTATGGGGGTTATTACGGGGGATACTAGGAGTTTAGACTATAGCTCATATGCTCTTCATATACCTTCCATACAACCAGGTAGTCCTCATATTAGCCCCCTAACAATTAGGGCCCCGTTAAGGGTTTCCCACAGAAATACCACGTCTGAGCTACATGCAAGGACCAGCAGAAGCCACTTAGGCATTTCTCAAGATGGCGGGCCATTAGGGACCCTACATGATTCATAGTCGAAACTCAGTATCCCCCATAATAACCCCTATGATACTCCCTCATTTATTCCCCTACATAACCCCTTTGAGGAGCTCAGACTATGCTCACATGAGAGTTACATGGGGATTGCACGGGAATTGATCGGGTTTTTACAAAGGATTCCATGCGGCTAAGCTCCAAAAGATCCTATTTGTCGAAACCCTATGAACCCTAAACTGTAAACTGTAAACTCTATAACCCTAGACCCCATACTACACCTTAACCCTAAACCTTCAACCCTATAGACCCCAGACCTTTCAACCCTCAACCCTATAAACCGTAAACCCTGAACCCATCTAAACCCTACACCTGCAGAGGTCGCTAGCAAACTGCCCACCGTGGTGCCGAATTCAAAGTCACTGGGATCAAGAGATGGCATACACCTAAACCGCCTAAACCCTTTGTGGTGCCGACATCAAAGTCACTGGGATCAAGAGTTGGCATACGCCTAAAGGTTTAGTTAGGGTTTGGGGAGGAAATCATACCAATGTTGTAAAGGTAGTTAGAAAACAGCCTTTTGTTGTAGCATTAGAGGGATGGCAGTACAGCTCTCAAAATCACCATTGTGGTTAACACAGTTAACACTAGTGATCACTACAGTCGCACTTCGTGCTACACCTACCCTTAACCCAAGACTCACAATCCTATGCCCGGCAATGCAGGGGTTCGAGACTCAAGGGTGTAGGGTTTGGGGTTCAATGTTTGGGCTCTGAGATTGCAACTAACAGATTGACCTAAACCCTAAAACCCCTAAACCCTAAACCCTAGATCCAGAAGTGAAAATTTGGGCCTAAGGGTCTATGGTCGGCGCCTTCAGGGGTCAGGTTCCATGCCTGCTGTTGGGGGAGTGCAGGATTTCATGTTCGAGGCTGCAGGTTGTGGTTCGCACATGTCGCCAGCGTCATCATGCTACTGCTACTACTACTACTCCTCCTACTATTACTACTACTCCTAC